AAACTTTAATTTTAATTGTAAAAATTGTTTTTGTTAACTGTTTTAACTGTATTTAGTGATTTTTATTTATCTGCAGTGATGAAGGTGTTTTGAGATTTTACGTATTTTCGCCTTGCCGGGAAATGAGAACTTAATTAATTGAATGAGAAATATATATCTAATGAAATTACAGGATTTAAGTTTAAATGATATGCAGTAAGAAAATGGGTATAATTTAATAGGCCGTAGAAAGAAGTCATCAGATTTTTTCCCAAGCCAGAAACATACATACACGCAGATTCTTTATTGTTAAATTTCTTTCAAAATAATAGAGAGCTATAATATTTGGTGGCGATAATTTGAAATGTGATCCGTCGCTTATAGTAAGCCAACACAAAATCCTATTTTAAGATTAACAGCTCCTTTTGGGCTAATAAAAATCTCATAAGAAGAAATAAAATCAATTAGAAAGCAAAGATCTCAACCAATAAATATAGTCAGAATGCTGAAAAACTAATTAGCCTTCGCAATAACAAAGATAATTTATTGCGAATCAAATCATGCTGAATCCATTCTGGAATTTATACGAGGAAATAAGTATTTAATAATCACTTCCCAATGTTCAATACCGATATTTTAAGTTTTTATGTATTTTGACCTTGCCGCGAAGGCAAAGCTGAATTATTTGAGTGAGAAATACTGAATCGTCTGGGAAAAAAAATTTTTTTTGTTTGCTTATTTTCTTTTATACATCGTTTAAAATTTATTATATTATTTTAACAGAACAATTAGATAATTCTTCAGATGATATAAATGCTGTGCATTCTGAGTCATAAAATGAAGGAGATGTAACACTGTTCATTGAACCTAGCGCCAGAGTGTCGCTATAAACAAATATAGTGAAGTTTAAAAAGAGTATTTATTCTATTGTGGTTTATGCGTTATCGACGAAGTAAATTTAATTCAATCCAATAAGTTTAAATGAAATGCAAGAAAAAATGCTTATAATTTAATATTCTGTACAAGGAAATCATGCGTCGTACACATCAGATTTTTTTTTTTTTTTTTTTTTTTTTTTTTTTTTTTTTTTTTTTTTTTTTTTTTTTTTTTTTTATTTTTTTTTTTTTTTTTTTTTTTTTTTTTTTTTGTTTTTTTTTTTTTTTTTTTTTTTTTTTTTTTTTTTTTTTTTTTTTTTTTTTTTTTTTTTTAAGAAATGGACGTCAACCTTTCCAGGCCCAGAGCTTTTAATGTATGATTTCATTTGGATGTATATTGGAAGAAACAGGACAAGGTACAAAATGAGAGCATCATTTTTAAATTAAAATCGAGAAAATATCACTTATTCATGACATTTTGATAAACTTTGAAATTTCAGGGCTAAACTCGTAACGCTCGGAGTGTTAAAGTAGTAATTTCTTCTACTTTTGTAGCTACTCTTTTAAAAATCACCATTATTTTTTGTTTAGTACAGCTCCTACCTAGGACTGTCTGGAACAATTCCAGACCTCTGGTAATTCGAATTATATTCCTCTGTACATAAAATATATTCCTGATCCTCATATCGTTACAGATAGAGAGATACAAAGATAAACATATAGATAGAAATCTATAATAAATAATAGCAAAAGCTGAATGCGAGAATCTGTTAGATACGGCGAGCATTTGTTTACAATACCTAAAAGCCAGAGTGCTAATTTAAATACGGTTTTCATTTATAAATCATTCCATTTTCCTTCCTGCTTGCTTTATTTATGCTGAAAGTTATGTTCAGGGTAATTTTTATGTTTACTTTTCTTCTCCATTGCCTTCAGGGAAAGAAAAATGGTACCAAACATAAAATAATATTAAGTTCAGTGGCATGTAGTAAAAAAGAAGAAATCAGTGCTCAGTAACTAGCGGAACTTCCTTTATTAAATTAGCTCTCTTCAGGAAATATGAGTCCTCCTGAAAAATGTCTAGTGTTTCCTAAACAAAATAAATGTTTATTCGCTTCTTCTGCAAAGATGAGATTTTGTTTTCATGTCCTTTTTACTGAACTTTATCACGTTATTAACGTCATGCAAAATGAAACTGGATTTTTTATTTGATCACTTTAGGGTCAGTTCTTCGTTTTGTTTGTCGTACTTTCTGCTTTGCTTTATTAAATTCAGGAATAAAAAGGTCTCTGGTGTGGAACACGTGGTCAAAATTGATCCAAGATTCAAAGCTCATTGTTTATTGCTGTCTAGTCTATTTGCATTTCACAATTCTGAAAAAAAAAACCAAGTGTATTGCCCTCTTTCTCTACATATTTCAATTTTAAATATCAGGGAAACAAAAAAAAACCTATGATACCAAAATTTCCTAAATTAATTTCGTTAGTGCAAAACGATAAAGGTTAATCTCATTTTTTTTAAATAACTTTAAATGAAATTTCATATTATGTAGAAGATTTCGTTTTTTATTTTATTTATTTAATTTTATTATTTTTTTTTTTTAATCTAATGAGGGTCTTTTTGAGTTCGGCTACTATATCTAACGCAGCTGGTAACCTACGAACCACAAACAGTATGTTCTTGCTGCTGGTGAGTGGTGGCTTTATAAGGCAAGAAATAAATTTTATTAGCTTTCAAAATTGTCGATGCTTTTAACAATGCCTTATCTAAGATTTGAGAGCAGTACGAAGTTTTGTTAATATCAACATAATTTATTCAACGAACACAATACATTCAATACGCAGGTATTTACAAAGAGTTTTCCGGAAAATGCACATGTATAGCAATAGCTTATTTACATTGTAAAACATGCTTTACAATGTGAAGATGAGAGCACACTCCACGCGCCTAGCTACAAAATAACCTTATGGTCTAAGGGCTGCAATAAAAAAAAATGAATTACAAATTTATAAACATCAAAACCAAAACCAAAACTCAAAACTATGAAAATATCTTTAAAAAAACAGGTAAACCAGGCCTGGAATTCCGAGTAACAATAAAGTTTTTTAAAGCAAGAAAAACCAAAAGAAGCCAAAAAACTACACGAGATAAGTTACAAAGCTGCAATTCTTTTCATGTCATATCTGTGGGACAACACAAAAGGAAAGAGGAGAGAAAATTAAAATAATTAACAAAAGAAAGAGATGTATTAGAAAAAAACAAAAATAAACAGGATATTTTGAAACATATAATCAAAACATAAGCAAACACAAAACAACATACATTACACATAGACACCAACAAGATCTCTATATTACAATTAATAACATCCATAACGGCTCTTGCAAGACTCAATTACAAAATTTAACACCTTCATGATTATTTCTACTGATCATATGTTTATCCCTAACATAATAAGTCAAAGGGCAATCAAGTACAGATTCAAGGGCTTAGAGTCACCCAAAATATTACAGTGAGAACATAAATCATTGTCCTGCAACTTAAAACAATGTAGATACCCAGGAAATCTACCGTGCCCAGTAAGAACTTGGTTACAATCAATGTCGTCATTATTACTTTCCTATGTAAGAGATGCATAGAAAAAGCCCATATATCGCAAACGGAAGTAGAAATCCTTAAAAAAAACTTACACATTCATAAACACAAATGGCATAATTACCAAGATATTAGTACTTTTATGCGAGCTCACGAGAACAGAACCAACATGGCTGCTGACATGCGCAGAAATTTTTTCTTAATGTATTGCTCATTAAAAAAATCGGAAATTAATTTTTACTATTAGAGACGTAGGATATAGAAGCTGAATTCAGAAAGAACATTATTTAATTTTTTTAATGCTATAATTTTTGTAATTTTGATCATCCAGTACAGATGGGCAAAATTTCTGTTTTTTCCGATTGGATAAGAACGACTCGCTCACTGAAATGATTTTTTATGATTCACCGTTGGCTAACGATAACCTTGATGAAAAGGATCCGGAATGGAGGGTGAATCAAGAGCTATTAGCGAGGATGTAGTGAAGACGAAAACAATTGAATGAACAGTGTGATACGGACCGGTTTGATTCCTCATCGAGTTGTCAATATGCGTGGGGCGTTTTAAAAACAATTAAAACTTATTAGGCAGTCTGAAGTTTATTTAAAATTTACATTTTAAAAAATCTGGATCAGATCCATTTCTTCTTAGTGCTGGACGGACATGATGTTTGAGATGACAAACCATTTTACCTTCAATCGCAATGCGCTGTGAGTATATGCAGGAACCTTCACCAACGATTGCGACAGATAATGCTGGAACGCCCACCGCACTTATTCGCTAAGAATCCGCATAATTATGTTCCGAAACTGAAAGAACACTTGCGACAGGACTTAAAACAGTAAGGAACGGAGATGGGCAGAACCGATTTTTCATAGAATCGGATCTGAACCGTTCGATCTCAAAATTGAATCAGTGCTTTATTATGATTCATCACTCACTAAATGAAAAAGATCAGGAAGGAGGAGTGAATCAAGAGCGGTTAGCGAGGTTCAAGCAGAGAGAGAAAAAATTCGAATGATGATAGGAAGAACATCCTGAATCAAACGTTAACTCCCTGAAATAATTTCTTTCAACTATTGTTTTGAGATTACCTAAGATCTCTTTCCTACACAAAACTAACAATTGAATTTTAGATTAAAGATTTCTCAAAAACTTGCAAATGATAAAAATTAATTGTGAATGAATAGCACATCTCTATATCTGAAATGCTTCCAACAAGGACTCTTCATGAACTGTAAAGGAACTACAAATCTTTTTTCTGAAACTGGAGTATATTAGCTCAGTAAAGTGAATCGGTTCATTGAATCGATTCCGTGCTTATTAGTCTAAATCTATGTCCGAATAGTGAAGCAGGATGCCATCGCGAATTTATTTTCGTTCTGAAATATTCAAAGCTATCCCAACGAGAATGTATTCGCTGCATTTAGCCCAGTTGTTCAGAAATCTGTGTTACGAAAGCATCTTCATTAATCTGAGTTGTTCAGAAATGTTGTTTAGCTATTTAGAAATGTGAATGTGCGTGCATTCCTTAATTATTTAATACACACTTAAGTAATTCTTCACCTTCTGCCATGTGCCTAAAATTTTGAGTTTATTTAAAATTAGTTTTCCTTCTTATTCATTTATTGTTTCTTCGATTCTTTCTGTTATCCATTGAACCACAGCCTGTACATAAGTGTAAAATGTGTAAGAAACTTCGCCGCCACACGGCTTGAATGCCTCGGCGGTGATCCCGACTTGCGTCCAGTAAATGTTGCCATCAGAATCCAATTGTGGTTGCATGAGAGGACTTCCCCTATCTCGTACACAAATGTCTTCTCCATCTAAAAATAAATAAATAAATGGTAATTAAGACACAATAACACGCCGAATAAATACTAATTCAGAAGTCAAACAACAAAAATCAGCGTTATATTTTCAAAAATTTCACAGGACTAGTTTCTATGGATTTACCGAAGGATCATCCTCAGCTGCAACCACAAATGTAATAAACCGCAAATGAATAAGATAGGAAATAATGATTAGATAAGATAAGAAAGCCTGGACATGAACAAGCAAGTGGCGCGATCTGTTGGTGAAACCAGAACTAAAATATAATTTCTTTAAAGGCCGAAGGCAAAGATGGATTGGAATTAGGATCGTTAACTAGAACAGAAAGATTTTTTTAATGTGAAATGCTTCTAGAAAGTCCAATTTTCCAAAGGAAGATGTTTTTTAAATAATTTTGGCAGCAGAAAAACTGAAAGTGTGATTTTCGGACCAACAATGTTGAGCAACAGAAGACTTCTGTGTTTCCTTTTTTCTAACATATGCCTCATGTTCCTTGACACGAAGTTTAAGGCTTGTCTTAGTTTGGCCAATGTAAATTAACCACACTGGCAAGGAATCCTATAAATACCCCAGGAATCATATCCGGAATGGGGTCCTTGAGTATGGAACTCGGAATTTTATTGATGGGAGGAATACACAACCCGAAAGTTAAATTTCTGCCAAATAGTGCAACTTTATAGCTAATTGATGGAAAGAAGGGAATGACAACATAATTTTTATAATCTCCTAAAACAAGAGTGTGCCTTTTAGTGTGTTGAGATGAGAATCTTTTTAACTGCTTGATTAATAATGTTGGGTGAAAAAGCCTCTGTCAATAGCTATTGCTTTTAAATAATTTAGTTCTTCATTTAAGGGATAGTTTGGAGGAAGCAAACTTGAAGAGCACGGAAAAAATAGGAATAAAATGAAGCTAACTTTGCTTAGTCGGATGACATGAATTTGAAATGTGGGTGGAAGGTAAACCGATTGAAGGTATACGGTAAACCGTAGTACTTGAAGTTGGATGTGTTACGTGTGACCAAATGTCGAGAAACGGAACAGAATTGCAAGTCTCAAGTAGTTCAAAGGTGAACTGAACCGCAGGATCAATGGAGATTCATTGTTGAAAGAACTTTATTTAAATCATCTTTCAGCAGACGAAAAATGCTTCAGGGACTGTTTGTTACCTTTGAAGAAGGAAGTTCAATTTCAGACACTAAGAAAAGCATTTGCCATAATGAAAAGATTCTGTGCTTTTTTTTTTTTTTTTTTTTTTCTTAAACGATTCAAGGAAAAAAAAATTTTATGTGTGGTTATTTTTGTTTGCTGCATTTAGATTAGTACTATTTAAAGTAATTCATTATTAAAAACTATTTTTTTATTTAAAAAGTCTTTTAAATTAAAATTTCCTGATTTTTGAGTGTCATAGGTTGGAAAGTATGTAGGTGTAAAATTTTATTGTAATTTCGAGCTAATAGTTTTGCAAAGCAAGAATGAATTTCCCCTTAAGGGAATTTAACTTGAAGTTGAAAATTAATCTTAGTTCCTATGCTTTTAACTATAGTATTTTTAAAGATCCTTTGATTTATATTAGGTTCTTTATCTTTAAAAATTATTTTAGTAAACGAAGATCTTACATTTTGCTTTCATATTTCATTCTAAACCGTTTCAAAGAAAAATGTGCTTTTGGTCATGCTGCTAATTATGTACCTCTCCTTGTATTTAAGTAAAATAATTCTCTCTTTCTCTGATATCTGTTAAACTTAAGCATGACATATTTAGACAATATTTTAAACCACAGTATGTATATTTATAAGGTATTCTTTTTGTTCTAATGCATTATGGGCCAATTTTAAAAACAGGAAACAGCTGCTTGTCTAAAAATGGAGTCAAACAAAATATTTCCTGTTCATGCTTTTCATGTAATACGAAGAACTGCATGTTAATTGAATGCTGTTTTTGTAAAAATGTTCAGGATGCTAAACGAAATATTTCTCTTTGGCTCTGTTCAATGGGTTAATTGATGTATTTGAAAATAATTTCTTGATATTAAAGTATTATCAAACGAAGTACAAAAAATCATTCATTTTGTTTTAATTTGCACATTTCTACTCTATATACTCAGCTAGATTTGATGTATCTTTCTGTATTATAAAGTAATCCTACCTTGTGAAAATATTATAAATTAAGTGTAATTTCTGTCATATAAAAATGCATATCTATCAGATTATTACATATAATTAAGGATTTGATAACTGTTGTTGCAAAGAGCATAGAATAACAACAAATGGTGTCATTTAAATACCATTTACTATTGGAGAAACGCTTCATAATGAGGGCAATACTTTTATTTGAATCAACCCATGTTCAAAATGTCACAGTTATGAAAATCTTCATAATTGTACCTTGGTCTTTGCATCCTTACGTAAATTATTTTCTAATATGTACAAAAATCTATCTTCCTGGTATCCACCTTTATGTCCATAATGTAAGTAAATGTTTCATTTACTTTGCTAATCTGCATAGCAAAACAAGTCTGCTACCCAGGTAGCAAACATATGAAGGTTTCTTTTTAGAAGTTACAAACTGGCCTTCATACTAGTTGGAAATGCTCAGAATAAACGAGCAGAAGAATTAATGTTAAAATAGGCATTAAGTGAAACATATTTTAGGACATACCATTAATTATTTTTGTTTATAACATAATTCATAACATTAAATAAAAATGAATGTTTCATCTCTACTTTATTTTTCAGTGAGAAAATGACTTTTTGTCGTTAATTAATTGTTGTTTACATTGTTACAAAAAGATACAAGTTATACCAAAGTATGGCACATGCAGCATAAAGATTAAATTCATTTTTTACATTATTTACTATTCCTATAAAACTTGGCTATGCCAGTTTTGCTGTCAGCATTTGAATTTAGTATTTAATACTTAATTTGGTGTTACTGAAATTAAAAAAGGAAATATGTAGCAGTTTTCAATATTTAATAATATTTTCGTTGATATTTTGGTAATGTTCGTTTTACTAATTTGTTGTCTTCACTTATATTTCAGATTATGATTTTGGAAAAATTAATTTGGAAAGAGAAAACTGTAAAAGAACTACGACTCTGTTTCTAGAACTGGAGTAAGTTAGCTCCGTAAAGTGAATCGGTTCTTTGAATCAATTCCGTGCATGATAGTCTAAATCTACATTCGAATACTGAAGCAGAATGCAACTGCGAATTTATTTTTATTCTAACACTTCTAAACCTATCCCAACAAGAATGTGCTCGCTACATTTAGCCCACATGTTCAGAAATCTGTGTCACAAAATCATCTTCAATAATCCGAGTTGTTCAAAATTGTTATTTAGTTGTTTAAAACTGTGAATGTTCGTGCATTCCTTAATTATTTAATACACTTAAGTAATCATTCTTTATCTTCTGCAAAGTGCCTAAAATTTCGAGTTTATTTGAAATTAGGGTTTTTTATTCATTTATTGTTTGTTCGATTGTTTCTTTTATCCATGAAACAAGATTCTGTACATGAGTGTAAAATCCGTAAGAACCTTCGCGGCCACACGGCCAGAAGCTCCAGCTGGCGATCCCAACTTGTGTCCAGTAAATGTCGCCGTCAGAATCGAATCGTGGCTGCACAAGAGGAGTTCCACTATGACCTACACAAGCGTCTTCTCCATCTAAAATAAATAAATAAATAAATAAATTAATGATAGTTAAAAAAATGAAGAACAAGATAATTTTTAGAGATCTCTCTCTGAAACTACATTTTAAATATTAAATGCAGGAAATTTCTCTCAGTTAGATATTTTATTATTTATAATAAAAAGCTAGAAAATTCATTAATTTATGAAAGAATCAGTGAAATGGAATCCTTTATCGAAATGGACAAAACGCTGTAAATTTCCGTTAAACAGACTCATCGTGAAAAGATTACTTTTGAATGCCAAGTTAGAATATCTTCTTCAACAGTTCGAATGAAAATTATAAAATTGCACGATGTTTCTCTATTCTCTCCCCCAGGATGAAATTCGAATTAGTGCTCAAAATTGAAGAGAATTTTCTCATTTGGTCAATTGTCTCCAGAAATGATCAATAGTGTTTAATGAAATATTATATAAACATAATATTATGTAATACTGTAATACAACAAAAGAACATATACAGTAGAACTCCAATTATCTGAATATATTGTGACCGGACCCATGCGGATAATCAAAAATTCGGGTAATTGGGTTTCTCCGAAGGAAAGGTCTACGTACCCTTTAATTAATTTCTGTATGTTGAAAATGGGAGAAAAAAGCTATTTTTAAAGAAAAGGAGGTTTTAATCAATTAAAATGAAAAGGCAACACTTTTACCTACATGTTATATAGCCAACATGTACAGTACTTACAAGTGCTGAAAGTCACTGCTTGCTGAGCATCTCGGTCAAAGTAGGTTGTTTGAGAGTCTTCATCCGTTTTCGGGCAGCCAAGCAAGCAAGCAAGATTTGGGCATTCCCTGCTCCGTGAACTGAATCACAGTACAAGTCCACTCCCCCTTTCGGCACAGTAACCTCCACTATTACCCTTCCAGGGAAGCAGCGCACCACCTGGATAAGACACCAGGCAGCACTGGTCGTCAATTACTCCTGCCAGTGGCATGGGCGAGCCCGTCGCAGAGGGCCGTTATCCAGCAAACCGGGGGGCAACCCCCCGGCTACAGATCCAATCGCTTAGGACATGCCAGACCCCGAGGTCGGCCAATCAGTGACATTTCCTGGGGCCTTCAGAACCACCAAGTTCATTCAATCGGCCGAGACTCCCTAGGTACAGATCCTAGCTAGTAGCTTCGCAGAATTCTCTACGTCGAGCCCCGAGTCGCGCATCCGCTTACAGTGCGAAGCTGCATGTGGTCACACTCAGGTTGACGCCCCATTCACTTCAACGCAGTTTCAAGGCCGGCAAACGCTTCACTAGCTGATAGTCGAGTTGCTTCAACTTCGCAATTAAGTTCCTAGGTTCTGCCTAGACATTTTCTTCTCTCACACTTTCAACTCTCACACTTTCACATTTAGAATTTGAGTCAAGGTTCTGACGACTCACACACGATCCATTCTGCTGTATTCTCAGCATTACCTTCTGATTATACACGAATTTTCAAAAAAATGTTTCTAAATTCCTCAAATGACTCGTCATCCTCATCTTTTCCTGTTTGTTCCCTCTCTCTTTACCTTAAATTCTAAAACCGATTCGGATAATCAGAGTTCGGATAATTGAAGTTGTAGTGTACTCCTATACTATACAAGAGTTCTGGTACACACTCATGATCATGCATAAGACTGATCGGCTCAGAAAGGTCTAAAACAGAGACTACCAGACTAAACTAAATACAGGCTAACAGAGGAACTCTAACAATCATACAACTCTCACAGCGTGGCTTCGAGGAAATGAGGCAGTTTATCAATCCATGGTTCCATCAGTATATCAATCAATCCTGATTCTAGAGTTTTCAATCCTGATTCCTGATTTCAATTCTGATTCTAGAGGGTTCTGGAAAGGAAAGGCGATTCACGATTGACTTCCCCATAGCGTCCCAGATATATCTCTACCAACGTCTCTAGATGTAAGGCTTATATACTTACATCTAGAGACTTTGGTGGCGCATCCAACCAGTTTTAGTATTTTTTTGACAGAAAATTAAATGGTTCTTGCCCCTTCGATCATACTGCACTTTAATCGGTGCTATAAAAAATTGTACTCTAGAACGGCTGGACTGCGAAAATATGTTTGATTAATTTCTATAACAAAAATCGGAAAACGAAAAATTTTAATTTTTAAGACCTGATTAATCACTATTATTTTTCATAGGTTTTTCTTTTCAATATTATACCGTTATTTAGATTCCATTTTAGAAGCATTAATAAGATCCAAATTAAAATTTTAATTAAGGTCAGCTAGAGGTTAAATGTAGCACAAACGTCGATGGAGAAATTTCAGAGTTTTGCCGAAAAGACCTGCAATAGAAACCAGAATAGGCGAACATTAAGAAGATGCAAAGCATTGTACCAAATATGCGAAATTCAAAGAAGGTTAGGTTATTCGAACATGGCAAAGCACGGAAGGATTATCTGCCTAAGGTGAGGGATGCCTTCGTATAGGAATTTCTAAGTGAAACTGGCTCACAGTCAAGTTACGCATGGTGGAACCTACGAAATCCAACCATGCAGCTAAACCAAACGCCTAGGATGGAACTTCTAGAGATAAACGGTCTCAAGTACTCGATCGCGAAGGCGAAATTAAAAGAAAAAAATTACGAATAAAGAATTTACTTAGAAACACAACAGTTCTCTTTATACTGTTCTTTAATAAACGGAGTATAAGGTGATTTTATTTTGATATTCTTAAAATATTATTACTTTATTATTCACCTTAAGTTTTTCTTTTCTCTAAAGTAGATACAAATATTCGTTATAAAAAGTCATAATGCGTTTTCAGACATTAATAAGTAAAATCATTGCCGCAAAGATTCCTTTGCTCATCATGCTAATGACCTGAGGTGCATAATTTAAGTAAACGTTCGGAGATCAGCAACGATATATGGCATTCATATTTTTTCCTTTCTACTTTTTTCTACGTACGTATTGTAATTGCAAATACATTCACTATCATATTTCAACGAAAATATCCATTTTAAACGCTCTGTAATCCATCTAAACAATGTTTTTGCCTATGGAATAAAGAACTACCGACAGAATAAAGGACTCTTTTTTCCAAAACGAATTGTAAGATAGATTAAAAATGGATTCAGAAAAATTTTTTGGTGACATTTGTATGTACGTATATATGTATGTATCTCATATAACTCAAAAACGAGTGGTCATAGAACGTTGAAATCCTGTAGCATCTAGCTGTGCAAACGTAGAGTAATTTTCTCTTTTTCCACGTAAAACAAAATTAGATCCTGCAATGAACCTCGCAAATTCTCGCACATGCTCGAACAAATACCAGCACAGAAGAAGGATGAAAGTAATCTTTAATTAAATTAAAATAGTTAACAGAAAAGCACGATCTTCGAGTGTTATAATGGCACCATCAAACTTGCGGTGAAACTAAAAACGGAGGATATAATTCGTCAAACATCTAAAATAAGTAGTGCTGGATAGAACGTAAATTAAGCCTAACAAGTTGTCTCGCAAAAACCTAACAGGCGTGATGATAATATGAATGGCCAAGAGGCTGACTAGCGTAACAGCGAAACAACAACGAAACATGCGCTGGCTAGCGAAAACACACTATGAATAAACTCAGAGATGCACCAGTTTAAATAAGAACTTTACTTGACTTGAAATTTACATCCTAGTGAAAAAATGTGAGGGGAAATTGAGACGGTTAGTACAGGTATCAAACTTAAAATAAATTTGTTATGCACAATAAGGAAATCCCTACGCACCTCCCTTTTTTATTGTAATCGCCTGCACCAAACGTATATCTATAGATATGTGTGCATCCCACTCTATTACCCGGCTAGGGTGAGGTCAGTTTTTTTTTTTACTCTTGTATGTTAGCAAATTGTACATTTTTTGCTTTAAAACTCGTTGAATTATGTTGTTCCTATGTTCCGGTTAAGGTATTTGAGCCTTTAGTTAATCTGCATGTAATAGCTGTAGAATTATCACCAATTTAAAAGTGTCACTAGGCCTAACGAGGTCGTCATTGATTTACACTTGACACATCTAATATAATAGTGAATTAAGTCAGTTGGTGCCCCAGCTTTAGTGTTAACTTTTGATTAATTGTTAAATTTTCGACTAAATGTTAACTTTCGATTTCGTGCACCGAAATTTTTCTCTTTCTGCCGCTGGACGATTTGTGTGGTTTTAGATAGAAACTCTAATTTTATTTCTAAGATTTACTTTTTCAACTGTTTTTAACTATATTTGATGTTTAAAGTTTTTTACAATTTTGAATGAACCTCTTTTGAATATTTATGTAATTTTTCCCTGCCGCGAAGTGAAGATTGAATTGATTCAATGAGAAATATATCTGTGATGCAATTCGAGGAATATGTTTAAATGCAGAAAAAAATTTGTATAATTTAATAGATAGTGCAAGGAAGTCATGTAGGATCCACATTTAGATACCTGATGTTATACTTAAACCTATTTTACGGCATTCTTATCCTATTTAAAAAGAATATACTAAAAATAAATTTTCTTTCCTTTAACTTCCCAGTACCCACGAGGTGCAACTTGAAGCTGCAGCAAATATGGGAAATAATACAAGTGCTTAAGTACATATTTTAGATATTTATATTTTAATGCATACTTTTGTTGTACAGTATTAGATATTTATTTCTATCTCTGTATGCTGTAAATAAATACCACGGGTTACCCGGAAGATATTCTGCGAAGTGGTAAATTACAGTTAGCTCGGATGACCATTAGTTTAACATTCGTTTTTAGACACTTTTTGAAAATTTTATGACGATTAACTTGTCTGATGAGCTTTTATTAGTCCAAAGGGGCTTTGTCTCTGATAGACTACTGTTTTCGTTTTGCGTTTTTCCTTCGAACCACTCTGCATGTCCGTTTCACTTTTCAAACTGTTGCCAGCAAATATTATCTCCCTGTACTATATTTAAATAAATTAATAATGAAGAATCTGCATAAATGTATGTGTATGTGTTCTAGCATTGTGATAAAAAAACGGTACCTACAGCCATCCAATTTTGAATGACGTAATCCTACTGCGAATCTGGGCATCTGAAAGCCCAAATTTGAAATTTGGAATTTGTTTTATTATCGATTTCATATTTTGTGAAACTTTAACGATTTTTTGATTAAAAAACTCAAGGATTCCAAACCGAGCAATAGCAATGTTGTACAGATAAAAAGAATTTTTCTCCAGCAAAATTCTAAAGATATACTCAATTTAAGATTATTTTGCGATATTGCTTTTGAACTAAATTTTATGATTTAAGTGCGGAGAATATGACATTTAATACATAAAGGTAACTCTCAAATATTAAAAAAAAAAGCCACTTTAGATGTAATTTAAAATCTGAAACATTTCAGATTTTTTTTTTATTAATAAAATTAAGTAATGCATTTTTTATAAGCAATCAGGTCTGTTTTATCGTCCTCAATTTTTAATGCTTACCTCCACGGGTACATAGCATTCTTTCCGTGAATTTCATATTTCGAATCTTCTTTTTTAAAAAATCGACACAATTTTCTTTTGATTGTAGATTAAGATTGACTTCTTTCACGTATCGCCTCATTCCGAGAGCTACATATATTCCTTCATCCTCTCTGACATCTGTACCCCAACCGGTTACAATGGCGGTTTCATTAGGTTTGTACAGAGTGGTCTCCGGAGATAAATCTGCAAAAGAAAGAGGCTGCGAATTAAAAAGCACACGGCATATCTTCGCTTCCTCAGCTCACAAGTAAGATATTTTCAACAGTAAATACATAACTTTCTTCCTTGAGGCAAGTCAGTGGTAATCTATAGAACTCAACCTGCATAATTACCTAATTGTCATACGCTATCCACCAAATCCATAACTGTAATTTATAGAAGAACGATTGTCACCTCTTGTACCTGGGTAACTTTTGGCCCCGGTTCGAACTCCGAAGAAGACATAGATGTTTGTAAATATATGTCCGGGCGGCATTGGGTCCTCTAAATATGAGGTGAGTCGAAGGTCCTTTCGATTGGTTGTTGGTAGGGAGGGAAGACTCTGGGACCCGTTCCCCTCCTCGGGGTTCTCTTCATCAAAACTGGAGGCGGAACTAAGCTAAATTACACTGTCACCTGTAAAGGGGCGATCATATCTGCCGACTGGTACGGCTTTGTGGGACATTTCCGAGAAACGAGACTCTAGTAGCACTGGTTTAACCCTTCCCGGCACGCTACCTTTTAAAGTCGGAGTTTTGATTTAGAAAAAGGTAGTCAGTCTAACTAGGCCTAGAGGAGTACACAAGTAAAATTTTGTGAAGATAGTACTTATCGTTTTAATTCTGTGGGTGTGCCCAAAGTGGTACACTGATGGAATAAAGCTTCGAAAAGAGTGCTGAAACCAGCATTCTTGTCAATGAACTGACTGGTGAGATGCGGAGAAACAAAGAATACAGACTCTCCGTTGTCCTAGATGATCGGTGAGCCCGGTCTGGGCATACCTAGGGTTCGCCGTTTGATTTTAGGCAAGATTTCAAGGTAAAAGTTTAAAACTAATATAGAATAAGGAGATTAGCATACGAGCCAAAAAATAACATAGAAATTTCTTTTCAAACAATTCCTTTTATACCCTAAAAAAAATTCGGAAGATTTCTTTGAAAAATGAGGGTCTTAAAAAACTAAACATGGCTAAAATGTATGGACTGGTTTGTGTTGAGCTGCCATCTACTATAAATAAAGAAGGTTCAGAGTAACCTATACCAACCCATAAATCCTTTTTTCATTCAATTTTTCTGTGCGTATAGTAGGAAATTTTTAGGTGTGTCCAGACCGGACACCCTGTGCCGCAAAGGATTAAACGGGAGATGTCCGTAAAATGTTTCGCCTAGCAGAGGAAGAGTTGTTCCGGTTATGCGAAACACTTTGAAACTTTTCCGAAAATGTTTCGTTCGCAGAGATCAACTAATCAGACGAAAGTTCTGATTCTGAAGGATCACGGGTAATTTTCAATATAAGGATGGCTGCAACTGTGAGATCCTGAACGGTGAAAATAGGCGATTTAATTGAAGAAACACGGGAAAAGCCGTATATTTATTGTTGTTTTACTATAGTATAACTGTCTAAGTCATTTTAAAAATGTTTATATATTCATTAAATTTATTAATCGTGGAAATTTCAGATTGGTGATGACGTGCTATTTCTGATGATTGGTTTACAAATTTTTCGTCGCAAAAAGTTTTCTTAATTCGTTGTATTTCGTGCTGATCGTGTGAAACGAAATGTTATTGTTATATAATATAATATTTTTTTTTTACTATTTAATGTGAATTTTTTTTTAAAATCTGTTTTCATATGCGCGACTTTACTTTTCTGCTAATTGCTTTTACTGCTTTTAAATTCAAATTGCATAATCAGCGGTTATGTATATTTATTAAAACATATATTATGCAATAATGAGGATACACATTAAATTTGTATGGCATTATCGTTATGTTATTAATGTGTTTTATAGTTCTTAATGTGTTTATAGTTCTTAATGTGTTTATAATCTAAAGATTATAAACACATTAAGAACTATAATTTTATTCTAAATGCTACATATTGAAACATTGGAAATTTATGGATTTATTATTATGAATGATGAAAAACATTTGTAGATACATTCATTAATATGAATCTTAAACTAAACTAAGTTCCGCAATTGCCCTAGTGGGCCAGGGGCGAGCAGTGCTCCGAAATCTGCTTTCTTGACCGTGGGCCCCGGGGTGCGTAAGCTTATGCCCAGAACAAATGGTATCCTCCCTAATGTACTCTGGCCTATTTAATATATTTGATTTTGATTTAGATTTAGTATTATCGTGATGTCATTAACTAGTAATAGGCCTATTCTGTCTTATCGTGATGCCCTTAACTTATAACACGCCTTCTGTGTTCTGTACTCATTTTTCCTGTAACTTGCTTTATCTTGTAATCTTGTAATCTTTACTTCTTATTGTTAAATTTGTACAATCCTTGATATATTATTAATGTACTTTACTCAATTGTATCTCTACGCCCTTGTTTGTCCATGTAAATATTTCTTTGGTCTTTAATAAATCTGACGCCTGGGCGACGGGGTGTGGGTACCCTATGGGCCTTTGGTTCGTTGAACTGCCCTGGGTGGATCCGGCGTTGGGCTTCGTCTCTCTGTGCACGGCTCTCGTGTGGCCTCTTTGGTTGCTCTAGATCTTGGGGGGCGCGGTGCTGAACTGATTCACCACTATGGTAGAGGTACAGTGCTCGCGTCTTCCGTCACCTGTCACCTGTCGCAGGATCACCAGTGTTTAGTTCCCAAGCGAAGTTGGTACTCATTTTATCGACCCAACGGATAGAAATCAAGGGATGAAAGGCTGAGTCAACCTTGCCCAAACCGGGATCGAACCCCGGACCTGTGGTGCTGCTGCGCGATGCCCTAGCCACTGCGCCACAAAGGCCCTAATATGAATCTTATTCATTACATTAATACTAATAAACATACATCAACAAATGAACAAGTTACTTTCTAATTCATATAACGTATCCTGTCTCTAGTGAAAACATGATCTGTATGCATTCTGCGCGGGTTTTTTTCCCCCCCCCTTTTTCCCTCCCCCCCCCCCCCTCCCCCCCCCCCCCCCCCCCCCCCCCCCCCCCCCCCCCCCCCCCCCCCCCCCATGGCTATATACAAAATAAAAAACCAACTCTGGAACTTGTAATTTGAAGTTAAAAGAAACAGGGGCAAAACGTTGAAAGGTACTTCTAATTCATATAACGGTCATGTAATTGGCAGCAGCTGTAGTCATCAGTTCTTTGCAAATTATCATGGATATGGAATACACAGTTGAAAAATAATTGAAGCGCATTCTGCGCATTAGGCTAGTCATTAAAATTCACCCATCTGCACACAACCTTTGCATTTGTAATTTACTTGGGAATTTAAACTAAACAACAACAAAAAAAAAAAAAAAAACTGAGCAAGTAGCTTTTACGAAATATTTAACATTTGGGAGATAAAATAAACATTTTTCACTCATCACAAAACATATATCAGTAAATCACATTATATTGTGAACATAAAAGTAATTAAATATATATATGGATACAAAAATATTGTTTATACTAATAAAATCAGAAATAATGACAAATCGCGAATGTACTATGTAAAAGGATTTGCAAAAATATATACTACAACAGATAATTACAAGAATCGGAGTAAAAAAAATATACAATTTAAATGTAACAGTTAATGTAAAACACACATGTCATTTTGACAAGGTATTAAGCCAACACTATTAAATTAATTACAAAATATATTTTTAATATGCATGAAATTTGAAAGCAAACTTCTCTTTCGCCAATCTGATCGATAACGGATTCCTGTTTGGCTTTCAAGTCAGTTTGCCAAGTTAAGATGTTAACCCGTTTTCGTTGAACCGCAGTTCCAAGAAATGTTTCTTTCGACGTGGTGTTCCGGCAATAGCGTATGTGATAGGGGTTTAAGGTGCTCAAGGCTGTTGCCAAAGATAGGCGTAATCTTGCGCTCCTTGCTACGAGTAATTTCGTGGACTTGGACTGACTATAGGTGTAGGAAGGCTCTACGAATGTCCGCAACAACGCCTATTTTCTTTAATCTAAAACGATTCATGATGGCCGGAATGACCTCGACGGTGTTGGGACCCTTTTCCAGGCAGTCGTTGATAGAAGGTGAGTTCTTTTCTCTGGCCGATCCATCAAAGACCGGTTGAACTCTTGTAGTGGAATTTTCTTTCACTACAGCCCTGTGAGGTAAGAAGTGTTCACTTTCTTCTTTACAGGAATTCTTAACTTCTTCAATAACGCCTTCTTGAAGCCACTCTCTAAACACTTCTTCGTATGCTTCTAAGTTTCCATTCCTCTTCAGTGATTTAACGCAGCCCTTTAGCCTTCGTTCTGCAACATTTTTGCAAGGTGGACAAAGGAGGATGATCTTGTATCCACGGGAGACTTACAACGTACCTTCCATCGACGGCTAATTTTACACTTCTGTTAAAATGTTCTTCAGCTGCCATCTCAAGCTCTTGTCGACTTCTTTTCTCTCCAGGGTCTAAAATTCCAAGTGCATCAAGTCGCCATAAGTCTGAAATTTTTGCATCGTTTACATGTAGCGACATAACGCTATTTATACTATCTGAAGTTTCGATCGTATCAGTCTTACCCATTATTGTCCATCCAAACCGCGTTTCCATCAAGACTATACCTGAGTCTAACTGTTTTATGTTTCCGGTATACAGTTTACCTACGACATGAGCCCCTACGAGTCCATGAATCTCGTCAGGAGAGAATTGATACTACAGATCTATTTTATCATTCAAATCAGACAGCAAAACTTTACATTTCTTAACTTCAATCATAAATTTACCACGCGGTATTTTTGGGACTTCGGAACAAATTTTTTCTTGATTTAACACCTCGAAATTACATCGATAATTATCCGAAAAGTCACTAAGGGGAATTAAGTATCTCTTATGCGTTTCCGTAGTTTCTATATCCGCTGAATACGAACTATGTGTTAAAAAATTTCTTCACCAAATACATTCATATCCCATTTTCCATTATTATGCAAAATTTGACAAGTAAGATTTACTGCTACCTGAGTCAATTAGTCCCCTTATGTATTTCGTTTTATTCTTATTTCTAAGACGAAAATT